GCAAATAGATCGAGCTAAAAAATCGATTCCAAAAGTACTCACTATCGACCGCAAAGTATCGATACTTACTCAGTATCGATACTATCGTTCTAACACTATTCACGAGGCGACGCGAACGCGTGCTTTTCTGCCTTCTGCCGCCTGCCTTCTGCTGACAGCGACGGGCAGGCGGAGGCCGGCCGCCCCACTAGAGAAACTATAGTCGGCAACCCCCAGACTCTCACAACTCTCGGCTCGGCTCGGCTAATAAATATTTTGATTTGGAAAAACTCGAAAGACAGGTGGGCGTATATGTAGATGTATCTATACATTTATATTAGACATTTTGCACATGAATGAGGGATGCGGTTATAGAGGTTTTATTTTAAGGAAGGAGAGACCGAAGTGAAACTAGTGATTTCGAGCCTTAAGGCAAATTGCTGGAACTTCCCCTACCATAGATTTTTTTTTTTGAAAATTTTGATTTTTTTTGGAAATCATGATTTTAGTATTAAGCGATTGCACTGCGTAGCTGTTTTGGATACAAAATATTGAAGCGCATATGCGCCGCGTTGCGGTCTAGCCATATAAAAGAAATGTAAGCACAATTTGTATTTATTTTTAAAATTTCTAAAAATTGTCCAATGATCATTTTTGGCCGCCAAATGTCATTTTTTAACTTCCAGTAGTTTTAGTAATGGACCGAAAATCGAAAATTAACATTTTCACATTTCTTCATGTTTTGAAGGTTTCTGAACATTTTGGCATACCTCAGAAAAAATGGATGTGTGTGTGAGTGTTTTGTGTGTTCGCATTTTTTCGGGCGCAGAGATCAACTGATTTGAATGGTTCGAAAGACATTCGATTTTCATTGATAAGGGGCCGTTGCTAATTAATTTTTGACAAAGGCAGGTCTAGCCTTTCTAAAAATACGGAGCAAATATTGCCAAAAATAGCAATTCATTTTTTAAGAGAACGGAGCGTTCGATTTGAATGATTCAAAAAGCATTTTATTTATATTTTCAAAATGTAGAACTTCTAAAACTGTTATTTTTAGGTACGCAGGTCTAGCGATTTCAATAAATAAAAGAAAATAAAGCCATTTGGTGGACAAAAATTGTCATTAGGCATATGCACATTTATTGAGATATTTCAATAATAAGAACAAATTTTGTTTACGTTTCTATGAGTTTAAATCATAATTTTTGGTACAGGAAGTTCCAGCATCGTGCTTTGAAGCACGATGCCCTACACCACTAATTTCAAGCAAAAATGCACGATTCCACAAGAAAGCTAGCTTACCCTTTATGCAATGAACCACCAATTTAAATTAATAGGATAAAGTTGCTTTAGTCATACTTAAAAAAAAAAGTATAATATTTAATACATTTAAATAAAAGGTTATCTTAATGTATTTCATTTTTATTTACTTGGCTTGTGAAAAATATTTAGGATTCTGAACTATAAATAATAACAACGTTTGATCTCTACCAAAAAACTCAAATCATTCAACTAAATTTTTAAATCATTATATCCAAAACTTTGATGCAAAATCATGTTATCAAGTTTCAATTATGAAGAAATTCCTCTAAAAATTACTGAAATTTTAATAAAGTTATGGTATTTGATTTTTTAGAAATGTGCTTTCAGTATTTTCAACGTGTCTAGTCGCCTTAGTCGTACCACCTATGGGCTTGCTCGTACCTACTACTAGAAAAATATATAAAATTTAATGCTAGAACAAATTTTTTATAGTTATTTATATACTAAGTAAAACCTATTAATATTAATACAAAACTTTGAATAAAATAATACAATCTAAATGTAACGAATATAGTTATAAAATTATTAAGTCTGTGGGTGCTAAGAATGGTGATGGAATTCCTCAAGACAGATAGATTTATATATGATATGATAATATATTATATATGAAATAATTATAAGAAAATTATACAAATAAAAACCTAGTTTTAAATAACTATCTATTGGTTTATAGTTCATTTAAAAAAAAAGTATTAGATGCCAAACTGATTCCTTCAGATTCATATAAAGTTAAGAGAAGATTGTACGTCTGTCGCATGTCACATTTGTGTCAACAAAAGTTAGAAAAACTTTTATAAACGGAATGACTTCCAAAAGAAATGCGGAACTTAATTTCTAAGATACAGAAAGTCTGAGGAAAAACACCGATGGTATTTTTTCTGTGAGTTCATTATTAAAGACGTGTAATTAGTCTTGGAATCTGCAAACTCGGTGACTGTAAAGTCCATATTTAAAATTTTGGCAAGAAATGAAAAAAACCGTTTTGTCAAATTTAAGCAATATTCACTCAATAATTTTGCATCCCAAAAAACAAGTTGAAAGAATATTAAGTTTTTTTAAAATTGACCATTTTCAAAGGCTTGAAAAATAAAGTTGGAAATAGTGTTAAATTGTTTCTGGTAAATAATTTCTTCTTATTTTACTAATTAACTTTATTTTATAAAACAATAGGTTAAAATATTATTTTCAAATCTTTTGTTTATTATATATGTTGTATTAGTTTTGTATATAAAATGGTCCAGAAATTTCTCTATAGTAAAAACTGAATGATAAAATTTTGCATATATATTTTGTATATAATAATTTAAAAATTTAGTTGAATCATTTCGGTGTTTTGGTAGAGATCAGAGGTTCCTAGTATTTATAATTTTGAATAAACTGAAATAAATTTCAAGCTCTAATTTTGGTAAAGCAATTTACGTCATGTTTGTTATTTTTACATAAAATATAATCACTCATTCATCTCATAACTCTTCATTTAATCTTATTTAAATTGACTGTCTTTGATTTACGTGAGGGGTTTCCCATAGCGCAGAGACGTACTTTAGAAAATATATGTGATTGATAAAATAGCAATTTTGTTTTTGTAGTCTCTATAAAATGTAGCAAAAATCCTAAATGCCCTAGTTTTTTTTTTTTTTAAAAAAATAACGTTGAGCAGGTATGTGCTGAATCAATATCAATATCTAGTTATTTTATAAATAACTATAGGTATTCTATAAAACTTAAATTTATTATAAAATTGATAGAGTATTTCAGAATTAACCTAGTCTTGCTACTTGGAAAAATAATGGAAAATTTCTTTAATTTATTTAAAAAATATACAAGCCCTCCAAAAACTTGCCTTCTCAGAAGACGTTTTGCTATTATGAATAAAAACACTTAAAATTATATTATATTTAAATTTGTTGATGCTTTGTTTCATATGTGTAGAGTGAAGTTACTTAAGTCGTACCCCCCATGTACCCCACTAAAAAGAATTCTAATATAATTTACTGCAATTAAATTAAAAGAAAATCGTTGGCGTCTATTGAATATTTCCTTAAAATTACTAAAAAAAGTTGAGTTCATACCAAATTAAAAATAGCTTTAGGTACAACTGAAGTCACTAGGTTATTTATAAGCCTTATTTGTACCAAAAACACATTTTGGAAAAATTTAAAAATACATATTTTAATGTAATTCTTGATCATAAGCCTACTAACTTATAATCAACAATGACTTGTTATTGAAATGGGTCTTTTTAGGTTTTTTAAAAATTTGTTACCGATTCGATTAAGGCA